CCCTAAAAACCCCCCAACCCCCACCCCTTATGGCTTGACCAGCCACTGCATCAAGAAAACCATCAGTTCTCAAAGCCTTGCGTATGTTCAGCGTGTACCCAGTTTGGAACAGAAAGTTCACATTTGAAGGGAAGATGCCCCCTGTGAGCTCACAGACAGAGCTCATCCATGGAGGCCTATAGATTCGTCTACAAATTTGTATAAAATACAAAAGATACAGCTAGCAATTATTGGTAATTAATCAGAAACCACTTACTGCTATCAGCTGAAAACTTTTATGAAGCATTGCCACAAGGAGTTTTGTTAATACGATCACAACCACCACATTGTAGGTACCAACAATAACAGCACCCACAAAAGACTGCAATTCTTCACCATAGCTAAAACGCGTGACAAAGATCGCTACGTGCGCCAGGGAGAATATATACCAGAACAGAGCAAAACATGTGCCAATAAACCTGCAAAGAAAAGAAGAAAGAATTCTGGTTAGATAAAGCAAACACAAAAAGTCAGTTTATCTCATGTAAATTCAACTTCAGCGAAAAATTCCATTTTTGTTTAGTTACTAGGAATTAATACAGCTATTTTATAGATCTCAGACTCACGAATGGAATGTGTCATTGCTCTGCTGCTCGCAGAAAATCCCCGCACAGTCCTTCTCTTCATTTACAGTAAATCCTTTATCATAAAGTTGTGTCAATCCAATTGTGAAAGAGAACAAGACAAGAAGAAACATGCCCAGAAATTTTCCAAAATCTTGTAGCATCTGCCCCATTGAAATCTGTGAAATAGATTTCCAGTTTTAGTAAAACATAGCTATTTTTGTTTGTATTCTGTCCTTCAGCCTCTAATCAAGAAAAGAATTACCTATTTAAATTTTAAATGTTTAGCTTAAAATTTAAGATGCTAAACAGATCTCAAAATCAGGAGGTGCCCTTGCACCACTTTTCAGCAAACAATTCTAGATGTTACAATGAAATTGAGTAGTTTTAACATCACCTGACAAGATCATCTCTTTCAATTAACTGTAAGGAATAGTATGTACACTTTATCCTTTATTTGTAATATCAATGGTAATAAGGATAGATAAAAGCAGTAAATTAAATGCATTTGAAGATACATACCATCATAGCAAGATAAGAAAAACCTTAATAAGGACACCGAATTAATCAAAACATTTGGAATCATAATTCATCACCAATCACAAAGTAGTATACCAAAGCCCACCTGCAAAACCGTATATTCATGTATGATTTCAAATGCATGCAATGTGTGGGTGTGTAAGCACATAAAAATTTAAGGGTGTAAATTATAGAAGACATGACACTAAATTCAGATTACCAGTTTCCATTTACAAAAGCTTGCAACAGTACAAATACAGCATCTTAGAAAAATAAATAAAAACCCACTTGTGCATTTTTCCAATGCAGAGAACTTGCTTTTGTTGTAGAGCACAAATTTTTACACAGACACAGCATAAACTATTCACAGCATTTAAATTACTCTTCCTACAACTTCAGAGAAGAATATACTATTATAAAGAATGCAAATACATAAAATGGGGTCAGGTACATTTATATAAATCAGTGTGTGTAAAGCCTAATCCTGTATGAATCACAATCTGCACCAAATCATAGTTCAGAATTGTATCACGGCTCGATGTCCGAGTGGAGAT